CGGGTCCCCTTGTCCTCGTGCCCCGTCCGGCAAAACCGGGCGAAACAGACCGGCTCCCGGCCGCCAGCGGAGGGCCAGAAGCCTGCATCCTCTCCCTTATTTTTATATGGATAGGCTACAGTTAGATTCACCGTCTATTATTATAATATTGTTAGTGTTGTTGTTGTTGTTATTCTTCAACCTCTGTGCTGAACGTATATTGAGGGAAACTGGATTGGAAGCAGATGAGTGCGGTATTAAACCGGGAGGAAGAGCCATCCCTCCCCCGCGCTGCGCCGATCGATGACCCTTCCCTGACAGCCGAAAACGCAAAGGATCCGCAAGCTCTGGTAATGAAAGTCACGGAGCCCAGTGAAAAAATGGGGCTAAAGTTAAATCTGAAGAAGAGCAAAGCAGCCACCACAGGTAGAACAGCCAGCCTTGGAATTGGCGATGAAGATACCGAAGCGGTGGACGCTTCTGCCTTTGCGGATCAGCCATCCGGAGCCAGCAGCCGAGGAGGGCCAGCGCTTGGCAGAGCAGCCGCGAAGGCCTCGGGGGAGACGTTCAGACGCCGCGGGGTCTCTGCCTTCGAAGATGGGAACGGTGTTTCCTGTGTCCCTCTACGGAGTGAAAGTTGGGCTTTGAAGAAGCGAGGTAGAGAAATGGCAAAACTGACCTGCCTGGCCGGGGACAAAACAATAAGACTGCAGACCTTTTATGGACTTTTTGCTGAAAATGGGAAAAAGGGTTGAATATGGGATAGAAGGGATCTTGTAATGTAATGTAAATGTAAAGAGGGAGGAGGGATAATAGGTTTAGCTGCTGCAGAGAAGATCAGAACTCGCTTCTTTAATTATCAATTTTCTTTTTTTAACTCTATTGCTTTTGCACTTTTTCTTTTATCTTTCTTCTTTTTCCTAACTTTTCTTTCTATACTTTCACATTCATCTCTTATCGATGTAAAATTCTTCAATAAAAATTACTTTGCAAAAAAGAAGAAGCAAGATAGCAAGAGTATTGATGCTTTTGAACTTGGGTGTCGGAGATGACTCCCGAGAAGACCGTGGACAGCCAGGAAAAGAAACTGATGGATCATCGAATAAATCAACCAGAGTTCTCACTCGAGGCACCAATGGCCAGGCTCAAATTATCAAGACACATGATGCAAAGACCCAGCTCTCTGGAGAAGGCTCTGATGCTGGGAAAGGTGGAAGGAAAGAGAGGAAGAGGAAGACCAGCGCAAGGTGGATAGACTCAGTTACAGTGGTGATGGGGGCACTGTTGGAAGACCTGAGGTTGGGGACAGATCATGATGGAGAATATCTGTGCGGTTGGTAAGAGTTGACACCAACTTGATGGCACATAATCAGTGTGGCCAAGGGAGGAGCGTGGGCCCTCTGCCACTGGCTCTTCTCAGGAACAATGGTGCTTCTCCGAGGGCTGAGGCCTCCCAGGTGGGCCACACCTGCTTCTGCATCAGCCCGCCGTGAGCGGTCTTTAAGGCTACTCCAAACTTTATTCACGTCCAGAGTTTGCTTGAAGAGCCGCTGGTGCCTTTCTCTCATAGCGTTCATTTTTCAAAAATGCCCCCCAGGTAGGATTACCAGACATCTGGCAAAAGGAGGATAGGTCCTCATGCCCTCTGTCTGGCAGGTATAGCCTTAAAATCAAATTTTGTCAGGCTTTTTGAATGTCTAACTCAGTGTTTTTCAAACTTGGCAACTTTCAGATGGGTGGACTTCACCTCCCAGAAACCCCCACCCAGCATGGCTAGCGGGGGAATTCTGGGAGTTGAAGGCCACCCATCTGAAAGTTGCCAAGCTTGTAAAAGGTTGAACTAACAGAGATTCCCTAATAAGTGCTAACCAAAGGGTAACCAA